TGCATAATTTTAGGAAGTTCCAGACATCTATTTTGTTTTCTGTTTGTGTGTTTTAAGTTATGTTTGATAGTGTGTATGCCATATATCAGAGCCCCTAAGTTTGTCCCTATTTTTTCCATTGTTGATACAGTTCTAGGCTTTACATTTAGGTCTTCAATCCACATCGAGTTCATTTTTGTATGTGGTGGGAGGGTCTTATTTTATTTTTCTGCAAAAGGATTCCCAGTTTTGTCAGAACCATTTGTTGACGAGACCGTCTCTTCCCCATTTAATATGTTTTGGCTCTTTGTGGAAGATCAACTGACCACAGGTGGATCAATTTACTTCTGGGTTTTCAATTCTGTTCCATTGATCTATGTCTTTTGTTGTACCACAGTGGTCAAAACAGCCTGTTTTCCTCATTTCCTTATTAGAGCTCTCTTTATTAGTTTAAAGGAATCCAACTGATTTTTGTATGTTGTTCTTGTACCCTGCCACTTCGCCATCTCTATCAGAGTTTCAATCATTTTCTTGCTGAGTCTTTGGGATTTTCGATGTACAGGATCATATCTGTGAATAGAGTTTTACTTCTTTGACAATTTGGATGCCTTTAATTTCTCTTTCTTGCCTTATAGCTCTGGCTAAGACTTCTAGCACAATAATGAGTAGGAGTGGTGCTAAAAGGCATCCTTGTCTGGTTCCTGTTTGCATGGGGAATGCTTTCAGTTTCTCACTGTTGGTTTTGTATAATATGCCCTTAATTATGTTGACCCTTAATTATGTTGAGTATACAATTTTAACTGAAACAGTATTTCATGGATTTAAATATGTAATTACTCCAGTAAGACATTTTCTTTCAAGATGCATAATTGGCATCATTACAGACTCATGCAAGAGTACTTGCTGGTGCCTGGGTCCAGAGTTGTCCCTTCCATATCACTTCCCTGCTCAAGAACCACTCTTTAAAGGTCTCTATAACCCTTCAGATGGAGTTCTGGTGTGGTGCTTTGGGTTAATACACTGGACTGCAAAGTCAGTTTGAACTGCAAGGTCGGAAATTCAAGCTCACCACTTGCTCCTTGGAAACCCTACACAGGGTTGCTATGAGTCAGAACTGTCTCTATGGCACTTAGCAATAACAACAACAACAACAACAACATAACCCTTCTGTTATCTCCTCTGTGTGGCTTTTCTGGCTCATTTCCCCTTAAATCAAGCAGGTTACTACATGTTCTAACCTTCCTCTTCTTTTCCTTCGGTGACTTCCTTAGCTTGGTGTGCCCTCTTCTCCCCCCCAACCCCCCACCCCCATGATCTAATCACAGTCTTCCTTCACAAGTTAGTTCATAGCACATGCACAATTTAAGGTTGCTAATTTTGCACCCCGTCCTCAAATTGGCGAACTCCTATTGTAGGGCTTTCAGCTCATATTGTTAGTTCTTTATTTTGTAACTGCCTCAGAGATCTGTGGGTATCCTCTGCTTGAGCACAGAGATTCTATCTTCCTCCTAGTAATAAAAAGTTTGAGCACCTACTATGTGGAGATACTGAAATTAATGTTGAATAAACCAGTCCTGGACTTTTACCTTTGGAATTTTAAGGAACTATTTCTTTCTTCAGTTGACAAATAAGCACTGAGCAATTGGATCAGGCACTGTGTAAGACACCTAAGGGTAGGAATTTAAAAAACAAACTTTCATGGGTGTAGAATAGGAATTTTCTTTCTTCTATTCACTGTGGTTTTTGCCAGGACTTAGAACATAAATATTTATTGACTGGATGCATGATTGAATGAAAGCAGATACAAAGGTTATAATTTCCAGTCTAACAGCTGGTTCATAGTAGGTAATCAATGAGTAGTGACTGGCTATGTAGGTAACTGGTTTTTGTTGTTGTCGTATAATTTTATTAATTTTGTTATTGTTGAGAATATGTAATCAAAACACACATCAATTCAACAGTTAGTACATTTTGAATTTAGTGACAGTGATTATATTCTCTGAGTTGTGTAACCAGTCTTGCCCTCTTTTTCTGAGTTGTTTCTCCCTCATCAACTGAACTCCCTGCCCCCTAAGGTTCCTAGCTCATCTTTTACGTTGCTGTTGTCAGTGTGATCCCATATAGACAGTTCTTGAAAGAACAAAATGCTCAAGGCAGACCTTTTTTTTTACTCATTTAGCTAAACTATTGTTTGATTTTAGAAGACTTTAGGGGTTATTTTTAGATTGTTCGAAGATTATCTCAGTGTAATAATTTCAGAGGTTCATTTACCTTTAATGAGTCCAGAAAGTCTTGAGTCCATGACATTTGAAATTCTACTCTGCATTTTCCTCTTGTTGATCAGGATTCTTCTATGGAAAGTTTGATAAAAAATGTTCAGTAATAGTAGCCTGTCTCATGGCAAAGGGAGCAGTTGTGCATGTAGGCAATTAGCCACACATTCCATATCCTCCTCGTATTCCTGACTTCTTTCTCTGTTGTTTCAGGTGAATAGAGACCAATTATGCCTTGGATGGACACTGGCAAGCTTTTTAAGACTTCAGGCACTACACACCAAAGTAGGACGTAGGACAGAAACATTAAACACTCTCTGAGGCCAATGAACTGAGATGTCCCACTAACTATGACCCTAAACACAAATTCCATGAGGTGTTTGGTTATAACATAAGGGTGGGAATGTCCGGCCACATAAGACAACATAAGGAACAGTTCCAGTCATCACATTTATTGTTGTTAAGTACCTTCAAGTTGGTTCCAACTCACAGCAACCCTGTATAAGGTTTCCAAAGAGCGGCTGGTGAGTTTGAACCAGTGACCTTGTGGTTCAAATTGGGCTTGTGGTGAAGTGCTTATCCTACAATACCACACCAGGACTCCAACACATTATTGTTAAGTGCCATCCGGTTGGCTCCAACTCATAGTCGAGCCTACATAGGGTTTCTGAGGAGTATCTGGTGGATTTGAACCAACGACCTTGACATTCAAACCAACCTTGTGGTTGAGTGCTTATCCTACAGCGCCACACCAAGACTCACATTAGGGGTGAGTTAGCTAAATGTTTGGCCAAATATATAGCAGACTAGCTTTTAAGTTGATAATTCTGTGTGGTCCTCCAATGGTATTATAAATTTTGGCAGAAAAAAAGTTTCCCCTTCTGACAAACAATCTCAGCAGTTACTCTTTGTGTGTGTGTATGTGTGTGTGTGTCTGTATGTGTGTGTGTGATTGTTGTAAACACAAGGGGGCTTCAAAAAGTCTGTGGAAAAATGGAATTAAAAAGTAATGGGGGAAAAAAAGTAGTGGAATTCTCTACGAGCTTTTTGAAGCCACCTTATATGTATCACACAATGTTTTACAGGTGGACAACTTATTGACAGAAATGACAATACTCGGCTCACAACCCTGCTCTTGTGGCAACTCTCCTGCCCTCCTTTCCCTCGTCTCTGCAACTCCTGGTAACCACTAATAAACTTTGGTCTATCTCTGGTAGCGTAGTGGTTACGAATCGGGCTGCGAACAGCAAGGTATGCAGTTTGAAACTACCAGCTGCTCCGAGGGAGAAAGATGAGCAGCCTCGGAAACCCTGTTCAGGGTCGCTATGGGTCGGAACTGACTCGACAGCATTTAACAACAACAACATATACACTTTCCTTTTCTTGTCTTTTTATATGTAAGGTAATATAATATTTGTCTTTTTGTGATTGATTTACTACTCTCAGCATAAAGTCTTCAAGCTCCACCCATACTGTAGTATGCCTTGAGACTTCATTTCTACTACTGGCGGAATAGTATTCCATTGTATATACCACATTGTGTATCGTTCATTGGTGTACAAGTCTCTCTGAGTCTCTGCTTTTGGTATATCTTTTGGATAGATTAGGAGTGGAACTGCTGGGTCATACAGGAGTCCTGGTGTGGCATGGTGGGTTAATGCCGCTGGTTTGAACCGCCACGTTCCCCGGTTGGAATCAATTTGATGGCACTTAACAGAAGCTCTTTTCAGTTTTTTGAGGAACTGCCACACTGTTTTCCACAGCAGCTGTACCATTTTTATTCTCCACCAACTACGGATTGTTGGTGTTGTTGTTATGTGCTGTGGAGTAGATTCTGACTCATAGCGACCCTGTACAGGGTTTCCGAGACTCATAGCGACCCTGTACAGGGTTTCCGAGACTCATAGCGACCCTGTACAGGGTTTCCGAGA